GGATCTACCCACCCCTCATCCATCAGGTTATCCACCTACTCACCCGGCTACTCACCCATTTCATCTGTTCACTACCTGCCCACCCACCGATCCGCCCTACGCCCTCTTTTCACCTGTCCACCCACGCATCCATCTCCTACCCATCCAATCACCCACCCAGTTCTGTACGTCCGTCCATCTACCCTCAACCGCACCTGTCCATCCCACCTCCTTTCCTATCTATTCACCTGTCCGCCCTCCATAGACCCACATGTCCACAGTCACCTGTCCATCTATCCCATTCATTCACCACCCACCCGTATCCTGACATATCCACCCAGCCACCACCCTGTCCATCTGCTCATCCATTCCTTCACCCATCCATCCGTCCATCTTATCTCACTATCTACCCATCCATGAATCCCCCCATATCCCTGCTTACCCAGCCACCCACCCAGCCACCCATCTGTGCATCTGCCCACCACCTTTTGCCCATCCATTCATCCGCCTACTCTCACATTTCCATTCATTACTGCTACCCACCCATCTGATCGGTGCCCACCCACCCTCCACCCATCTACCCATCCATCCCCCCCATGCTTCCACTCATCCTTTCCACCAGCACCATCTGTGTGCCAGGCTCTGTGTGCCAGGCACTGTGGGCCATTAAGGGCCCGGGTTAGAGCCAGGCTGTTTCCATCCCTGGGCTGCCACTTACTAGCCATGTGACTTGGGGAAGCTGGACTCCAACCCAGGGGCTGCCTATTGCCAACACCCCTGCTCTTTCCCCTGAATCCTATGCCACTTAGTCTGGAGCTAGAGAAAGGAGAGCATGGGATGACTTCTCCACGCTCTGAAGGAATTAACATTGCTCACATAGGAATCCACAAACCAAGACAGAGACATGACACCATCACGGTGGCCTGAGAACTCACCTATGTGGCAAGAAACGTGGCTGGGCCCAGGCCTGGCCCTTTGCTTCCTTCGCTGAGCGGCCCTTGCGAGGGCAACTCTTCGGCCAGCTCAGACCCCAGCTGAGCCCCTCCCAACTCAGCGTTGTCCCATCTCCTGCCAGCCCGAGAAGCTGGGGTCCAGCACAGCCCACACCCATTAAATAGTAATAGTAACCGTTTTTACTACGCCAGGCACTATAGCAACAACCTCATTTAATCTGGTAACAACCACAGGGCAAGGCCGTGAGCTCCACTTGCCAAGGCTGGAAACGAGGCCAGAAAGGTAGGCACCTTGCTCAGGTCACCAGCAGTGGCCACAGCGGCAGTGCCAGGACTCGGCCCCAGGCAGTTTCCCTCCAGGCCTCAGGCCCTTCACCACCTGCCATCCTGCCTGTCGGTGCCACCTCCCTGGGCCGGCTTCGCCTGCTTCCCCGTTTCCCACAGAGACGCTAAGGCCCAGAAAGGGGAGCGAGCGCCTTGCTCAGCCTCGCGGGGTCAGCGGCTGCTCCCCCCCAGGGTCACGGCTGGCTTCCCGGAGCCCCGTGGTTTGCAGGGGCTCTGCCCGGGGGGCCGGTGACTTACTTCTCTCTGTTGAATATGATGAATTCCTTCCGCACGGTCTCCAAGCACTGCTGCAGGTGTCCATTCTGGCAAAGACACGGACAGGTGACTGTGAGTGACGGACAAAGACCGTGACGAGCAGGGATTGACCTAAACGGGACTGGTCACAGGGCCTGAGCCGCTAAGTGGCGGGAGCAGCCCTGACTGCGTGGGCGGCTGTGCCAGGGAGCCAGGCAGATGAAGATGTTTTTCTCAACCTGAAGCCACTAAATCCCACGTGAAAGCCACGTTAGTGTGGATTATGGGTGGAAAAGCCTGGGCTTGGCTTCCTGATCACGTGAATGTCCGTCAGGCCTAATTTAGCAGGGGGGTGGGGAGAAAGGGAAGGCCGCCATCCTGCCAGCTGCTCGCTCCCGTCAAGAACAGGTGTCAAGAGCCACCTGTCTCGCCGACGCTCCGTATCCGCACAGCTGGGCAGTGCCCACCCCACTGCGCCCTCAGAAACACACTCAGGAGGCTCCGGGGATGGGGTCTGGGGCCACCCTACTTTTAGGATCCACAAAGATGTTTTAATTTCCTTAAAAATAAGCAGAAAAGAAATGAACTTCTAGCACTGAAGGTAATATTCACCTTCATACCATTGCAGTCATAAAATATAATTTTTAAAATACTTTTCTGGAAGAAGGGGCGGTTGTGGGTTGGATTCTGTCCCTTCCTCCAAAACATATGGTGAAGTCTTACCCTCTCAACAGGTGAATGTGACCTTATTTGGACACAGAGCTGTTGCAGCTGTAACTAGTTAAGATGAGGTCATACTGGAGCAGGGTGGGCCCTCAATTCAATGACAGGTGTCCTTCAAATAAGGCCACATGAAGACACAAAGCCACGGAGAGGAAAACGCCACGTGACGATGGAGGCAGAGACAAAGTGATGCAGTCAAGACAGCTGGCCAAGCCCAGTCGGTGTGGCACAGTGGCTGAGCGCTGACCCATGCACCAGGGGGTCATGGTTCCATTCTCGGTCAGGGCACATGCCCGGGTTGAGGGCTCAATCCCCTGTGGGGGCCATGCAGGAGGCAGCCATCAAGGTTGATGTTTCTCTCTCACATCTCCCCTTCTCTTTTCCTCTCTCTCTAAAGTCAATGAAAACAGATTTTTTAAAAAAAAGACTGCAACCAACCCCAGAGGCCAGCACAGGCCAGGGAGGACCCTTTCTGAAGCCTTTGGAGAGAGNCTTTCTCTCTAAGGTCAATGAAAACAGGTTTAAAAAAAAAAAGACTGCAGCCACCCCTAGAGGCCAGCACAGGCCAGGGAGGACCCTTTCTGAAGCCTTTGGAGAGAGCCTGGCTCAGCTAATGCATTGATTTTGAATTTCTGGCCTCCAAAATTGTAAGAGAGTAAATTTCACTTATTTTAAGCCACTGAGGTTGTGACACTTTACGGCAGCCTAGCGTGCCCAGGGCCCCACAAATGTCACAGTGCAGCCCCGGATGTCTCCACAGCATGGAGCTTTTCAAAGGGCGCTCAGGAGACTCAGCAAGGCGCCCACATCACCCAGCACTGAACTCGCGCCTGGAGGCTCGCGGTGGGGCAGTCACAGCTTTGTGCGGTGAAAGACCACGTGCTGGACGGAGGCGCCTCATTTACGGCCAGCGAAGGTGTCTGGATGGTGAACGACATGCCTCCCTCTCTCAAAGGCAGCCTGGCCCAGCTGCATCCCCGGGAGTCCAGGGCCCCGGCCCCCGAGGCTGCCCCGCACGGCGCTCACCAGAGGACAGCTGTCCTTCGTGCCGTCCCTGGACCTGTTCTTCGCCAGCCTCTTCTTTTTTTTGTGAAGGGGCTTGGATTCGAGGATCATCTCTTCAAGTTCAAATGTGGGATCACAATTCAGTCTCCCTTTCTGGAAGGATAAACATGGTTTCTCTTGGTTCCGCCCATCACTGAATTTTATTTTCACTCATTCATTCAATCTCTCATTCATTCATTCAACAAGGAACAGCGACCTACTGCTGGGTGATGCATCGGTTGTGTATTTTTCTTCTGACGATGCAAAGCAACACATTCCCATTGCACGCACCCCTCATTTATCTCCACGACCCTGACCCCCACCCCGGGCAGCCCCACCGTCAACATCCGACACTCCCCAGTCCTGGGGGACAGAGTCTGCAGAGGGTGCTGTGGACACCGGGCTGGCGGGAGGGCAGTGAGGAGAAGGTGGGCTCGGAGGGCAGGGCCAGACCCCCCAGGACACTGCCCCAGGCTGGGGGGCGGGGACCCGGTGTGCTCGCTGGGAGGGACCTGAAGAACTAGTGTCCCCAGGCTCTGCTGCCTGAGCAGCGCGTCCAGAACACAGATGAGGCTGTGGGAGGATCTGCCCTCAGGAAGGTGCCCGAGTGTCATAACCAGGGTTTGTGGGGGGAGCTTGAAGCCTTGGATCCTTGTAGACGCCGATTTGAGGGGACATTTGCATCCAAAGGAGCGACAGTCTTTAAAATAATCTAACACAACATACACTCCGGGGAGACTGGGTCCCACCTGCCGGCCTAGTGGCCTCAGCAAGTCTTTCTGCTCTTTTGCTTTTGAGCTTGTGGGTGAGAGTGTGTGTGTCAGTGTGAGTGTCAGTGTGTGTGTGAATGTGTTAGTGTGTGTATGAGTGTGTGTGACTGTGTGTGACTGAGTGTGAATGTGAGTGTGCGAGTGTTGGTGTCAGTGTGTGTGAATGTGTCTGTTAGTGTGAGTTAGTGTGTGAGTGTGTGTGACTGTGTGTGTGACTATGAGTGTGAATGTGTGTGTGACTGTGTGTGTGACTATGAGTGTGAATGTGTGTGTGCACGCGAATGTGTGTGAGTGTGCGAGTGTTGGTGTCAGTGTGTGTGAATGTGTCTGTTAGTTTGAGTTAGCGTATGTGTGTGTGTGACTATGAGTGTGAATGTGTGTGTGACTGTATGTGTGTGCACACGAATGTGTGAGTGTTTGTGTGTATGAGTGTGTGTGTGTGTGTGTGTGAGTGTGTGTCCACGGGTGGGAGGCCTGCTGAGCCAGTGTCCCCTTGCACTCAGACAGCAGGTGGCGACAGGTACCAGCGAGGCAGCGNCAGACAGTAGGTGGCGACAGGTACCAGCGAGGCAGCGATCTGGCACTCGCGCTGAATCTCAGTGAACCGAGACCCTTTGCTGCTCAGCAGCCGTGGGCAGCGGTGGGCTCTCTGGCCAGCATCAGGGACCCTCCTTCACACCAAGGCGGGGGACCTGCAGAGGGGTGGCATGCCATCAGACAGGACCCCACTCACATTGGGCACAAAGCTGGGCGCCAGCGTCTTCTCGAACACCGCGTCCCAGTTCATGTCGGCCAGGTAGGGTGAGCTCTGAATGTCGCTGAGGCTGGACAGGCGGCTCTCGGGGTCCTTGGTCAGGAGCTGGGGACACAGGGCAAATGTGCCTGCCTGAGCTGTGTGCCACCAAGGTTAGCGGGTTCCTAGGGTGCGGTCTTGGGGAAATAGAGGGGCCTCTGCTCTTCTCGCTCCAGCCATGCTGTGTCCTGTCTGGGACGCTGTCGCTGGACCTACGCTCATCTTTACAGCAAGGAGGGACTGAGAGGTCAGGCTGCTTCCACAGGTCACCCAGCAAGGGACTCTGGGCAGAGGCTACCTTTGCGGTCACTGTGCCCCCTCACGGACTGTGACCCTATGATACCCTGGCTCTCCCTGGTGTCTGCAGAGGCTTCCAATTAAAAATAAAAGGAACCAGCTGCCCTGTCTCAGGACTTTCAGCTTGATAATGGGACATGCCAAGTGTCATAAAGTTTCACCGGACAGTGTGAGGCGACCTCTGTAGCCAGGTGCACTGACCCCATTTGTCGTCAAGGGGACAATTTTCAGCTTCCCAAAGAGATTTCTGCTAACAGGGCGATGCAGTGTAAGAGCAGCCACAGGCTACCACCCTGCAAACGGGGCTCTCAGCCTGTCAAACACTCTGCCCATCTGATGCAGAGAGCTCCTGGCCTAAAAACGTAAGGACAAGAGTCCTAGCCCTGGGACGGCCACTCCAACATGAGTGGCCTCGGGTAAGCTGCCCTGTGTTCCTCCAGAAGTGCGATGGTCACGCTCCACATCCAGCTCATGACTGGGTGAGACCCTAGGGGGACTAGGAAGGACCGGCACGTGCTAAGGGCAGGTCAGCACCCAGCTGCCCACAGACAGGGGCCGGGAGTCAGAGCCCCTGACAGTCTGTTCCTGTCTGTCACTGCAGAAATCTCCCCGTGCCCAGGGGATGGGCTAGAGTCACCACGTGAGGGATGCCTGGCAGGGCCGCATCTGCTGGTCATGGTGGCCTCTTTCTAGGGGATGCCCCCCAAAAGGGGTGCCCATTTAAACAGAGACCCCACCTCATTGCTGTACAGGGGGCTCAAGGTTTGGGTGGCAGTTGTCTGACTCACTGGGTGAGTGAGTGGGGAGGGCACTGGCAGGTGGGAGGGGCTTCCAGCGATCCAGTGACCAGTGGGCTAAGTGCCATTGACTCCTAAAAACCAGGTAGTGACTCTCATCTAACGCAAGTCAGCTAACAGCGCGTCATTCGAGGGGGACGGGGGAGCCTGGGGGAGGCTGGTGGGGGTAGGGAGCAAGCGCTGGGCTCAGCGGTCAGAAGGCTTGGATAAAACCCTGCCTCTGCCCCTTGGCAGCCCTGTGGCACTGATGGAAGTGTTCTACACTCCTGAGCCTCAGTTTTCGCATCTCTACTATGGGATAACGCCACTCCTCAGGGTACAACACCACAGGGCTTGAAGGGGTGCAGTGAGAAGACCCAGCTCATAGCCCGGGACATACACCCTCAACCAGTGCCGGCACAGGACAACCGATGCCGTCAGCATCGTTCCACTCTGGAGGCTTTGAGGACTCCAAGTGACCAAAGTGGACAGCCAGCCTCAGAGGGAGGGCACGGGGACCTACTGCCCCGGAGAAGTCATCAAAACACAGACAGCTGGGCTCACCCCCAGGGCTCGACGACTCTGAGAACCTGACTTTCCAATGAGCTCCCAGGAGGTGCTGACCCTGCTGGTCCCTGGGCCACACTTTGGGAACCGCGGCCTCATTCTAATAACAACAGTTCCCGAATAAAGTCAGGAGGTGCCGGATTTCTTAAAGCTCACTGAGTTAAGGACACTTTGCAGAAACATTTTGAAGAGCCACCTGCAGTAAGTATCTCTGTGTATTAGGAGCTTGTGGTGGTGAGAAAGCCGGGCTCTGCTGTCACAGCCGGGACTCGGAGCCCCGCTCCTCCCGCCAGCAGCTCTGGGATCCCGAATGCAAGATGCTGGGCCCGCGTGGGAGGCCGGTGAGAGCCCCGCTCGCTTTACATCCACTGTCGCTCCATCATCTCCTTCCTTAACATGCCGGGAGGCCAGTGCCCGCACTGTGACCTCAGCTCCGGCCAGGCAGGCTGCGGCCGCCTTACCTTCCTGAGCAGGGCGACCGTCCCCTTGCCCCATGTGGAGGAGTAGTGCACGCGCTCCGCCTTGAACATGCCCAGGATCTCATCCACGGGCGTGGCCGAGTGGATCTCGTAGGGCCTCTGCAAAGGACAGCGGGCAGGATCAGAGGGAGCCAAGGCAAGACCTCATGGTGGGTTACAACTGTGTAATTACCAGGGACGGTTCACTCTCCTTCAGGGAGCGGGGGTGTCCTCTGTCGCAGCAGAGCAGGTGGCCTGGACCCATGTGCCCACAGTGACCAGGCCTGTGGGGCAGGTGGGCGCTCCTTTAAGGCCACAGGAGGTTAAGGGTCTTGACAAGGTCACACAGCTGGTAAGTGGCAGAGAGAGGCAGGAGCCATAGCCAACCACCTAACCCAGAGTCCCTGCTCTAGGCTCAGGATGGGGGGTTAGGAGGGTGGCCTGGAGAAGTCGGCTCTGGGCACCTCCACTGGGCACCTCAGTCCCAGCCCCCACCTCTCCCTGCCCTGGCTGCACCTGCCTGCGAGGGCACACGGCTGGAATTGCCAAGGTCTGGGTCTGGGTGCGCTGAGAGATGGGGGAGGCGTGTTGTTCTCAGCTGCGACCCTCTCCCCCCACATCGAGGGGGCATAACCCTCTCCTCTCCCAGTCTGATAGAGCGTTAAACCTCCTGACTGTTTCGGAACATNAGGCATGTTGTTCTCAGCTGCGACCCTCTCCCCCCACATCGAGGAGGCATAACCCTCTCCTCTCCCAGCCTGATAGAGCGTTAAGCCTCCTGACTGTTTCGGAACATCGCACGGCCAGCCGCCTGTGTCTAAGGACCTCTCGAAGCTTGGGAAGGCCTTCCCGACGGTGACCCTGGGGGAGCAGCTTAGACAGTACCTGAGCACCTGCTCCCCCCTCCAGCCCGCCCCACCAAAGAACAAACAGACAAACAGAAAGAGTGGAAGACACATGGCCCGCACCCCAAAAGGACTTCAAACCAAGCTGGAAGGTGAGGCAGGCATGTCACACTGGGTGGAAAGAGGCAGCATTTGAAATCACCAGGTCAAGGTGCTTCCCAAATCTGAGCTGCCACCGATTAGCTGCTGACCTCGGCGCGATCCTCCCCTTGAGGGGCTGGACCAGAAGCTTGCTAAGGCTCAGGGACCTCAGAGCTGACACCCAGGCCTCTGACTCCCCACACGGTGCTCCTTCCTGCCACCCTGTGCCTCCCAGGAGAAGGACGTGCCTCCTCCCAAGCCTGGGACCACCTGAACCCCCCGCTTCCACGGCCCCCCATGTCCACTGCACAGGCGTAGGTCTTACCCAGCCCCGGAGCAGCTCGTAGGCCGTGACGCCCAGGGACCACCAGTCAACAGGGTACGAGTACCCGGGACCGCCGTCCACGTAGGCTTGGAACACTTCTGGGGCTGCCAAAGATAGGACAAAGAAAGTGTCACCACGTGTCTGTTTACACCCACCGCCCCTTTGAGAGGGGACGTGGGGAGAGGAACCGTAGGCCTGCACTCCATCCGCTATGCCACATGCTTCTTGCCCTCCACAAGCCTGGAGCTGGCCCGAGAAAAGCGGCGGGCATCCCAGGACACACCGGGGACCACCGNGTGCGGGGACCACCGGGCAGAATGTAAGTGGGAGCCACGTGTGCGGTGGAGCCGGCTGCTCTGGGGTCAGGGACAGGCCCCCGGAGCAGGCGCATTTGGTGGAACGTGAATCACATCAGCATGAGGAAGGGGGTGTGGGGGGGTGCAAGTGTGAGCTGAGATGAAGAAACAAAACCCCAAGGGGCTGAGAACTTAGTAGACGTCACCCTGCTTCTGGCACCAACACTGGGCCAGGCATCCTGACCACCAGGGACGTTCAGAGCCCTCGGTGCCGCCGCCTATCTCAGGAACGAGTCTATTTTAGCACATGTGGGACCGAACATGAAATGCCNTGGTGCCGCCGCCTATCTCAGGAGCGAGTCTATTTTAGCACATGTGGGACCGAACATGAAATGCCCGGCGTCCGTAAGTCTGCAGGCAGGAGGGAGAAGGGGGTTGCCAGGGGCGGGGGGAGGGGAGCAACTGTCTAGTGGGTGTCCCTGTGGGGTGGTGACATGCTCTGGAACTAAACAGTGGTAGAGGTTACGACAATGTGGATGTGCTAATGCCGCAGAAACGTTTGCTTTAAGATGCTTAATTTCACCTCAATCTGAAAGGAGTGAAGGACGGGCGCGGCCCACGTGTGGCGGATTCTTACACTCCAGGGGACTGCAGTTGTCCCGGGGTCCCCGGCCCCGCCACTCTCCGGGATGCTGAGTGGTGGGTTCATCTCACTGCCTCACCCCACCTCGAGGTCAGGAGTGCACCCTAAGGTCTAATCGCTCAGTTGGGCTTCCAGGAAAATTCTGTGAAATGTGCATCATTTCTAGCAAATTAATTCACAACATTGTTCCATTTTACAGCTGTCGGAGCAGCCAGAACCTGTCCCGGGGAACCAGGACATGCTGTGATTAAAGACATCTTCACTCTTTTTCCAGACTGGCATTCAGACAGCGTGGGAAGGTGTGCGGGCGAGGCAGACGAGGGAGGACACAGGCGCCCGCATCTGGGCCCCACATGGAGGCCGGACACGAATCGGCCCAGCGGCCAAATTCCAGCTGCCCTCTAGCAAGACTCTCCATTTACTTGGTGCTTTAGAACATTCCTTCCCCCTTGGGTTTTCCTTTCATCTGCACAACGGCCCCCAGGGCCGTGTCATCATCTGACACAGTCTTCAGGTGGGGTTCAGAGAGGGAGGGCGTGAGAAGGAAGTCACACAGCTGGGAAGGGCAAAGCTGAGGTGTGTCTTATGCACTGGCTCAACCCATCTGAAATAAGGTTTGTATCAACATTTTTTTTTCTTTTTTTTGAAATTTTAAAAGATTTTATGCCCAGCCAGGCGTGGCTCAGGGGTTGAGCGCCGACCTAGGATCCAAGAGATCGTAGTTCAATTCCCAGTCAGGGCACATGCCCGGGTTGTGGGCTCAGTCCCCGGTGGGGGCCTGCAGGAGGCAGCCGATCAATGGTGACTCTCTCATCATTGATGTTTNGGAGGCCTGCAGGAGGCAGCCGATCAATGGTGACTCTCTCATCATTGATGTTTCTATCTCTTTCCCTCTCCCTTCCTCTCTCTGAGATCAATAAAGATATATTTTAAAAAAATAAATAAAATAAAAAGGTTTTTCATTGATTTTTAGAGAGAGAGGAAGGGAGTGGGAGAGAAAGATACATCGATGTGAGAGAGAAACATCAGATGGCTACCTCCTGCATGCCCCTACCCGGGATGGAGCCCACAACCAGGACATGCGCCCTGACTGGGAATCGAACCGGTGACCTTTTGGTGCACGGGATGAAGCCCAATCAAAGCCATACCTGCCAGGGCAGTTTGATGATTTTTAAAAAGAACATGTTTTTATTGGTTTTAGAGAGAGGAAGCGAGAGGGAGAGGGAGAGACAAACATCACAGATGGGAGAGTCATTGATTGGCTGCCTCCTGTATGCCCCTTACTGGAGATCAAGCCTGAATCCCAGGAAGTCAGAACTCATTAGTAGGGTGATGGAGGCCAGAGGGAAGAGCCNTATGCTCCTTACTGGAGATCAAGCCTGAATCCCAGGAAGTCAGAACTCATTAGTAGGGTGATGGAGGCCAGAGGGAAGAGCCTTCTCTTATGTCATCGCTCTCTCCTCAGCCCGCTCTGGACATGGTGACTCCTTCGACTTCTCCCCACCCCTCCGGCCTGGTCCCCTAGGCCTCAGGGTCAGTGCTCTTCCTCCCACGTCTTCCCTAGGGCTTCATATCTCAGCGCTGAAACCCCCCAATCCACCAGTCCCATCCACATCACTGTCCAGATGCCCCAGGAGAGCCTGACTATGTTGAGGTTCCCACAGACACCTCAGATTCAAACCTGTCACTCTCACCACCCCATACACCTGCTGCTCCTACCCAGAGGACAGCACCGTAACCCTCTGCATGATCCAGACACCTGTGAGGTGGCCTTGACACCTCCCGCACCCCACTCTCCTGCCCATCTGATCTCTCTGGAATCCTAAGTCAGTGATCTCCTTGGACAGTCCTGCCCTAGCTCTGGATCCTTCTGGAAAGGACTTCAAAAAGATCGTCAACAGCAAAAGCTTTGCTGGGCTCCCAAGGGGGTCATCTGAAGAGAGGAGACTCCCTGGCGTGTGCACCTCTCGCGCTCACCCGGGCCTGGGTCTGACATCACCACCCGTGTCGACCTTTGCAAGTCACCCAACCTCTCTCGGCCTTTTCCTCAGCTCTGCAGCAGGACTAAATAATTGTGCCACTTGCTGTCTGTGAGGATGAAATAAGCACTTAGCTCAATGCCTGGCACCTAGTAAATACTAAAAAGTAGTATTTTTGTCACTATTTATTGCCAAACTTCATTTATTTAACATATGTAATAAGTTAAAGATGAAGGACCCAGCAGCGGATTCTGGGGAGGTGGTGACATAGTTTTCAGAGATCCACAAATCCACATATAAAAACTGACAGAGCAGATAAACAGCTAACCCAAGAACCATGGGCAACATTTACTGCAAAACTAAGTTGTCCCCACAAACCCAAGATACAAGTGGGTAGGAACAAACCAGCAACAGTGTGAGGCCTCCATGGTGAGGATTTCTATACAGGGAAAGAAGCAGGGTAGCATATGACAAACCAGAGGACAGAGAACCCCAAAATAGCCTGCAGGCCCCCAAATTCCCAGTCACTGGGAAGCATAGCGGCCACTCTGAGAGCAGCGGCTAAGACCAAGAGGAGCTTGTCCAGCCTGATTTCAGGGGAGGGTAAGGGCCCCGGCACGTCCTGTAGGAGCTGGAGCCGTCTGAGCCCCCAAATCCCTCCAATCAACCCAGCCAGAGCCCCTTCGAGGAGAGAGCCCAAGGAGACACTGGTGGGAGTGTAATCAAACCGAGAAGCACAGGGCCCCGCAGACCAAAGACAGAGCAGATCCAGGTAGAAGTGGGCAAGTGGAACCGAGCCCAGAAATCCCAGCTAGCAAGCTGCCTTGGGTTTTAACTTCACCAAAACCACAGAAGAGAGAAGTCTATTAAGTTAGAAAAGCTACCCTAAACCACACCATCGTCTAAAAGTTCAGGAAAACAAGTTTTACATCAAAAAGAGCAACAGGAAAGTATCCAAGTCAAAACCCATGCAAACTTATTACATGACAAAGGGGAATGAAGAGCAGAAGAGCTCTGTACAATGAAAGCACACCTGACAGATGTACCAAAAAAAAAAAAAGATCAGACCTGTAACCTACTATTTATAGAGTTAAACAGCACTGTGTGGATTGGTTCATTATTGGTTCCCCAGTGAATCAGAACATCTGGTATCCATGCCTGTGCAGTCCCTTCCCACAGGGTCCTGGTCTCAGTCATGTGACTTGCTCTGGCCAACTGGACCTTGGGAAATGTGAGGTAAGCAGAGATTGATAAGCATGTGGGAACTGGGTTCTCCTTTTTTAAAAAAATATATCTTTACTGATTTCAGACAGAGGAAAGGAGAGGGAGAGAGACAAAAACATCAATGATGAGTCATTGATCGGCTGCGAGCCTGTGACCCGGGCATGTGCCCTGACCAGTAATTGAACCGTGATCTCTTGGATCCTAGCCGATGCTCAACCGCTGAGCCATACCCGGCCGGACGGGTTCTCCTTCTTGAGCCTATTGTCAGCATGTGCACAAGCTCACGCCGGTCCCCTTGATGACAGAAGACCACACACAGAGAGAGGTCCCTTCATCTCAGCTGTCCTCACTGAGCCTCAGATGACCCACCAGCTGAATGAGTGAGCCCAGCCAAAGCCAGCAGAAAAACCATGCAGCTAAATGGCAGAACTGTGAGAAATAACATCATTAGTGTGCTAAGCTACTAAGTTTTGACATGGTTTGTTACTCAGCAGTCAGCAACTAATACAGACATCAAGAATTAAGAACTAACAAAGACATTATTAAAATTACACAAAACATAAAACAACATACGTTAGAATTTAAAAACTCAGCCATCAGGCAAGAGGACTTAGGAAAAAAATCAGAAATAAAGGGAAATTATTTCAGTAATAAATACTTTACTAGAAAGCACACAAAGTAATGTTTATGGATAATGCTGTAAAATAAAGAGAAATAAAAATGAGGAAAAAAAATAAATGAAGGAAGAGATAAGATTTGAAAATGGCAAAGAAGACCCAACTTTCAGATAATAGGTGCCCCCAAAGAAAACTAAAGGAAACAGAATGCTTGCTAAAAATCAGACTTCCATCAAAAGTCATTAAGAAAAACCAACCAAATGCCTAAGCATAGAGACCAACCAACACCAAGGTTATATTCCGGCAACACCACTGGACCTGAATTGAAAAGAAGGGTTTTCTTGTTTGCTTTCCCCTAAGCCTGAGCTAGCCTTCCTGGCTGGGTAGGAGTTCCCGAGAAGACACAGGAGGGGAAGGCGTCTCTGGCAGGGGAAGGCAGCTTGAGTAAAGCCCAAAGGTCTCAGAGAGCATCGCATACCGGAAACTGCTGGGGGTGGGGGCGAGGCAGGAGAGAATGCTGAGGCCTCTGCCACTGGGCAGATCACGCCCCAAAGGGGTCCTGGGACACTCACCCATGTACGGCTTGGTCCCAGCCATGGAAGAAGCCTTCTCTGCTCCCTTCACGACGGTCGCGATGTTGAAGTCTGTGATGTGAACGTGTCCTGGAGACGGAGAGGGAGAGGCCCCGGTTAGCGAGAGCTGCAGGTGGCCGCGTGACTCCTGGCGTGATCGGAAGCTGTGGTCTGCAGGTGCCGTGCGGGAAGAAACTGTGACAGCATCTGCTTACGTTTGTATTTTATCTGATACTCTGAAAACGTCTTTATTTTGGCAGCGTTATTCATAGTAGCCAAGATATGGAAACAACCTAAGTGTTTGTCAACAGACAGATGGATAAAAAAAGGGGTTGGTGTGTATACCCAGCGGAGTATTATTCAGCCACGGGAAAGAAGGGCATCCTGCCATTTGCCACAACAAGGGGGGACTGCAGGATGTCACTCACACGTGGAGTCTAAAAAAATACCAAACCCATAGAAACAGAGTAGAAGGAGGTTGCCAGGGGCTGGGGGTGGGGAATGGGGAGAGGGTGGTAAAGGGCACAAACTCCCAGCTATGAGATGAGTAAGGTCTGAAGATCTAGTGGAGACATGCAGACTGTTGTATAATGGACATTTGCTAAGAGTGGGACTTGTTTATATATGTATTTTATGTGCAAGTTTTATAGTACAATTTTTTTGGTGGTTCATGCGTATTACCTATAAATAAACAAATCTATTTATATTGAGGAAGGGCATGGTAAAACAAATTTATAGATTATACGTTTAGAGGCACTGACCCAGAGAGTTCAAGCTCCTGGTAAATAAAAGGCAGGTCCGCCCAGACTCCCTGTCTCAGGAAAACTGCGTGATCATGGCTGGGGCAGGCGCGCAGAGAGGACACTCTTGGTCTCCTGGCTCTGCTGTGGTCAGCGGGGGCCTCAGGACTGTACCTGACGAATTTAGTGGGGGGGGGACTGGGGGGTTGACACCCCCTTCCAACCAGCCTAATGGGATATGGATAGGCTGGGAGCTCCTACAAATAGGTTTCCAAGAAACCCGAGAGGGGAGGGACCCCAAACCTCAGAGCAGAATCAAAGTGCCTGTTCTGGGAGATAACATCCAGCCTGGGGGATCAGAAAGCCAGGCAGGCCCGGGGGAGCCGGGCAGCTTCCGTGAAAGCCGTGGATTTTGTGTAAGCAGCAGATTCTCAACATTATTAATACTTAATTAATGCGTTTATTTCATTGTAAACACAGCCAACCAACTCGTTCTCTGAGAAAACACTCAATGAGATTGTTCATCAAACTCTTTAAGGAGCGACACAGTTACCTGCTTTGCAAGCTGGTTAGCGATGCCACTAACAAAAGGTGAAGGGGACGGAATGGACAGCATGGGGACCGTAGGTAATGATACTGTTTTGTTTATTGGAAATTTGCTAAGGGAGTGAATCTTAAATGTCCTCGCCACACACAATTAAAAGGTAAGTGTGTGAGGTGACAGACGTGTTAGTGAACACGACTGCGGTGATCATTCCACAGTGCACATGCACATTAAACCATCGCGTTGTGCGCCGTAACATATCACGTTCTACAACCTAAACAGATACAAGTTTTAATTCCCAATCATAACTCAATAAAGCTGGAGAGAAAAAAGGCAACAATGACTATGGAAAAAATAAAGATGCTGACGAGCCATCTCTGGTCACAAATCAGGGAAAGGCGGACTCTCCTAGGGGAGGGGAATTGGGTTTTCTGAGAATTCCCCGCACTGCCTGCGAAGGACTCACTGGGCACGAAAGGGGCAGGGTAGAATAAGCCATTCACCCCTTAGTATAAGATAGTGTATTCAGCACTCTGTCCCAACGCCTAGCAGAGACGCTTGATGAAACAGGAGCTTGGAGAAGAGGGGGGCGGGTCCGGAGGCCCTCGGCGTGTGTGGGATGCTGCACAGTGGACGGTCAGCTCAGCCAGCTGTGCTCCGCTGGGCTGTGCCCTAGACCCCTGGTCCTAGCTCAGCTGGGCTTCACCTCCTCAGTCTGACCCAGAACGCAGGGGCCCGAGCTCCCCAGAGCAGGTCAGGGTTGGCCTTTGCTTCTTACCAAGCCCCCTGGAGATTCCCACAGACTAAGGTGGACGGCCACCGACACGGAGCCTGACGCTCCAGGCGTGGTCCGTGGACCGGCAGAGGCGGCCCCACCCGGGAGCTGTGAGGGACGCAGAGTCCCCTCCCCACTCAGACTCACTCCGTCCAATGAGACGGCCAGGCCCCGGGCGCACACGAGAGCTCCAGGAGTCTGGGTGAAGGACGGCTTAGTGATTATTGATTATTGATTTCTGGCTCGCCAGCCGCACACCAGCCCATCTGGTCCCCATGATGGTCTGGGAGATGGGCACCGCCTTCTCTGTCTGACAGATGGCACTGAGGCTCAGAGAGGCGAGTCCCTGTCCTGAAGCCACAGGGTGACACGTGGAGGCGCAAGGGCAGAAACCGCAGGGCTTCCCTATCTCATGCTCACTTCGCCCAGGCTGCCTCACACCGAGACGTCAATCGACAGCCACAGCCTCCAGACGCGAAAGCTTCAAATACATTCACCTTAGCAGAACACTGACCAGGAATTTAGCCAGATGTTCATCCACCAGGATGGAAGCCAAACAAAGGCCTGCTAACCTCTGGAAAAAATCAACTCAGCGGGGCCCCCACCTTCCCAAGCCTCAGACCCCACTTTCCTAGGAAGCACCCGCGGCGGGCTTACCATGTTCGTCCAGCAGGATGTTGTCCGGCTTGATGTCTCTGCAACAGAAAACAGAAGCTGAAGACACGATTCCCAGAGCCACTAACAGCGCACGACAGACGGGACAGTAGGGGACAGGCGCCCGACGGCACCGAGTGCGTGTCCCCCCGCCCCGCTCGAGGCCGAGGTCTGAGCAGGGGGGTGACTGCTGCGATCACAGGGTGCCTGTGTTCCGGCTTCCTTTCTTCCCTGGAACTGCAAGGAGATTGCGTGAATATTTTTTTCTGGAATATTCTTAACAACGCCTGGCTTCTCCTCTCCCCGCAGTGACTGCTCGCGGAGCTCGTGGTCTCTGCCAGCAGGCGCAGACACTTCCCTTCCCGATGTAATTCAGCCGCCCACCTCGCCAGGGACAGACATCCAGGTGTCACTGTCTCCACTCTGTGGACTCGGGAGCTGAGGAGGGTCGGGAACGGGTCCCAGTCGGACACGGGCCAAGCCAGCCCTCAGCCAGTTAGTGCACAATCTGTGGGTGAGAAGGGCTTTTGCATCTTTAAAAGGTTGTTAAAACAAAACAAAACACAAGCAGCAGAAACGAAAAGCAATGTACAAGACAGACGAATGTGGCCCTAAAGGCCTAAAATATTTAATATCTGGCCCTTTTGGGAGAAAGTTGGCTGATGCCGTTTCTTTTAATATTTTTCTCCCCACTGATTTTTTGAGAGAGAGTGGAAGGGAGGGGGTAAGGGGAAGAGACAGAGAGAGAAACAGCAACGTGAAAGACACATCGACTGGGATGCCCTTGATCAAGAAGTGAAGCCTCGACCCTCCAGGGCACAGCCTGGTGCTCTAACCACTGAGCCATGTCGGCCAGGGTGCGGGTGCCTTTTTAGGGCCACACAGTGGACCCCATGCAGAAAATCTGAGCTGGGCAGCTTCTGGAAAGTTCTGCCTTACATCACCACAGCAAGAGAGGCTCCCAAGCCCAAGTCATGCTTGTTAGGGGCAGGGGCTTTGCTTCGTCACCTCTGCCCCCCTGGTGCCCAGCCTGGTGCCTGTCACTAGTAGACACCGTCAAAGGAAAACCAGACTGGACAGCAGTTAACGCGGAAAAGACACCTGTACTCAGGACCGATGGGGGGAAAGAGCCCGGCCAGTGTGGCTCAGAGGTTGAGCGTCGACCCATGAAGCAGGAGGTCACCGTTTGATTCCCGGTCAGGGCACATGCCCGGGTTGCGGGCCCGAAACCCAGCAGGGGGCGTGCAGGAGGCAGCCGATCAATGACCCTCTCATCATTGATGTTTCTATCTCTCTCCCTTTCCCTTCCTTTTTCTGAAATCAATAAAAACATATTTTAAAAAAAAGAAATAGTAAGAAAGAGATGTCAGTGTAGAACAAGCTCAGTCCCACGTACAACACGCACAAGTGGGGATTTACAGCCACGGAGCAGGCCAGGGTCAGGGGATGGAAAATTACTGCAAGGAAACGCTGGGGCTGAGGGGTGAGGGGTGAGAGGTGAGGGGACACTGGCTAAGCCACCCGCCAGGACTCCAGCTGAAGGCAGGCCCGGGTGACAGGCACCACCTGGCTGAGGGGCCCGGTCGGGTGTGGAGGGTGCTGGACTCCGGCCAAAGGGCCGATGAGGTCCTCGCCGAGCCTGGGCAATGCCGAGGCCGACACGGAAGCCCAGGTCCAGGCCTGGCTGCAGCAGCACCAGCGGGACCTGGGTAGGGCTTGACAGAGGAGAGGCGCTGTCAACACCCAGGGGCCACGCGCGAGGAATGGACAGTGTGGGAGCCGCACAGCCTCCCAGGGGCTCGGCCAACACGCAGCACTTGCAAGGCCGTGTTCAACGCCCGTTCCCGAACCGCGAGCCCCGCGCACTCATTGAAGTAAATGTCGGGTCTTCTGGGACCAGTGGCAGCTTTCTTCCAAATAAAAGCGGGAATCCCCGGCTTATCAAATAGGAATTCTACCCGAAAACATGGGGCCGCTGTCTCTAATAACACGGGGGGATGCTGATGGCCCCGGGATGAAAGGCACACTCAGCCCACGCATTTCCATTTCCGTTTCCACTGTGACTGGGGCCTAGGAAGATCGACAGGCATTGCGTCAATGGGCCCCACGGCCGAGTTCACAGAACACCCCCGGTGGGCCTAGAGGCTGGTTCGTCCTGGAGCCCCCGTGGGGAGGGTGCACCTGAGAACTCAGGAAATTACAGCAAAGGCAGGAGGCTCAGGGGCGAGCCCCTGCGGGTGAAATCAGCCAACACTGGCTGCTGCCCAGGGTCCCCCAGCAGGGTCCCCGAGAAGTGGGGAGAAAGAGAGCACTTGTTGAAACCGGACGCACAGCAGCAGTGTTAAAGCGCATCCGTGAGATGACCTTGTTTGGGGCGTGGGGGTCGCCGAGGGCGTCGCCGTGGCCGGGGAGCGTGAACCCCGGCCCCTCTTCCCCTCGCCCTCCTGCGTCCTGTTCACTGTCCTTTCTCCCTTCTCCCCTCACTCCTTCCCCTTCTTCTTCCTTCTATGAACATTCCTCAGATGTCTCTTCCAGGCAGGTCTGGGCAGACAGCTGGGGACACAGGCCCTCCCCTCCCGAAGCTCAGAATCGGTGGGAGAGGGAGACACGCAGGCTGGGTGCCACCTGGCGAAGTGGCTCAGCTGCTACGGGTGCAGGGCAGACAGGGCACCACAAGGGCAGCTGGAGAAGGAATGGTCTGGGCTGCACTTGGACCTGTAGGGGCCAAGGTGTCAGAGCCAATAAAAGGTGAGCGGAGGCAAACCTCCGGAGAGCTGACCTGGTTAGTGGGGTGCAGAGCGTTCCTCCAGAATTCAGGTCTACCCAGGACCTCAGAATGGGACCTTATTTGGAAACAGGGCTTTTGCAGGTGGGATTAGTGAAAGATCTCAAGATGAAATTGTCCTGGCTTTAGGGTGGGCCCTGAATCCAATGACCAGCGTCTTTATAAAAGGATAGAGACAGACTTGGACACACAGACACAAAGGAGAGAAGGTGGCCTTGTGAAGACAGACACAGGGACTGGAGTGATGTGGCCACAAGCCAAGGAGAACCAGGCGCCACTGGGAGCAGGGAGGACTCTCCCCAGAGCTGCGGAGCACGGCCCGGCTAACGCTTAATTTTTATCTTCTGGCCAGAACTGCGAAATAATAAATTTGTGTTGTTTTAACCCACCCAGTTTGTGGCAATTTGCTGCGGTGACCACAGGAAGTTAACACGCCCGCCAGATCCGAGGGAGAGCTGATGGAGGAGGCTGGCGAGTCTCGAGTGGCAGCCAGAGTCCCCCACTGACTACAGCAGGCCCCACCCACACCCATATCTCAAAGTCCCCTGTGCACAGTCTCTCACATTACGAGGACCGGATGAGCGCGGGTGTGAGCGGCTGGTAATCCAGGCCCCACGGCTCCCAGGAAAGAGGTTCTCTGGCTCCGGAGCCAACTGCCTGGGTCCCCACCCAGCGCCTGCTGCCGGCGGGAGCCCTGCCTGCTCTTCAGTCTGTGTGTGGATTAAATTCCTGATAAGCGCACGCGTTCCCTCTGTGTTGGCTCTCAGCACGGCAGGGGGAATAAATGACTCTCACGCTTTTATCAGGGTCCCTTTGGTGGTCACCGGGGCAGAGCAGTGAAGAAGACAGACCCAGCTTTCCTGCCAGGAGGGGAGACAGGCCAAAAAGCAAGCGAATAAATGACGTGATCGTGAGTTGGAACAAGTGCTTCGAGGGTCTGGAAAAGAGACCACCGGGTGGTCCTGCTTCAGTACGTGGTCAGGGAAGAGCTTTCGGAAGGTGTGATGTTAGGATGACGTCTGAAGGACGGGACTGGCTCAGGCCTGCACAGCCCTGGGAGCAAGCTCTCGTTCTGCAGATGAGGTAACAGAAGGCGGAGCAGGGAGATGATCTGACCTGAGGGAGCATGACCAGGGCGACCCGTGTCATCTCCATTCCACAGTGACATTATCTAAGGCTCCATCTCAGCAGACTGGAGCGAGGGACCCTCCTTTGCTGGCCTTGAAGATGCCAACTGTCATGTGTGAACAGGCCACGTGGCAGGTACCACAGGTGCCTCTGGGACCCTGGTCCTGCAGCACAGGGATGGGATCCTGCCAGCGAGCACACAAGGGGGGGAGATCCAGGAGGGACGCAGCCCAGTGGGCACCTGGATTGCAGCTCTGTGGCACCCTGGGCAGAGGAGCCAGCTCACCTGTGCCCAGACTCCTGTCCCCTGAAAACTAGGAGAAAATCCATGCGAGTTGTTCTGAGCTGCTAAGCTAGTGGTTACTTGTTACACAGCGATAGGAAACTCATACACTAGCTAATGTACCCTATTCCTGCTCATCTGGGAACAGCAGCCCCTCTCTGACTGTTGCCTGGAGCCGGCAATGAGATGCTACTCATACAAGGCCTAGCACAGCTCCCGGGGGGCGAGAAGTGCCAAAATAAAGGAGGGAGTGCGGGGAACTCTCACAGTTCTTTACAGGGGCTGGGGAGGACTCAGGGGCGGATTCTTGACCTTTTAGCAAAATGAACTGAATCTTTCATGGGAGACTCACCAGCAGACTCCTGCAAAGCCATCTGAGGCGACAGAGAGCCCAAGTGCCCTGGGATTTAATAAGAACAGCGTTTTATGGCGAAGTGTGCTCCCAGGGCCCTGAGGCTGGCTGGTTTCAGGGCCATTTCCTCTGTTCTGTTTTTCACATCGATCGTATCTCAGCCCCGGTGCGTCATCGCCCTGCAAAGGGCTCAAGCGTTCAGAGAGGGCGCTGGAAGCCGGGAGCGGGAGGGGAAGGCCGTGGCGGGTTTTCTGAGGACAGGCCCATTATTTCAGAGCCGGGCGAAACGATACTTTGATGGAAAGGACGCATCTGAGGCTATAAAACCCGGCTCTTGCTCCTGAATGATTGCCCAGCCCCCGAATAAAACAAAGCACGAAATGTCAGCTCAGCTGTTTTAAAAACCAGCACAGATAGGGCTCTGACTCCAACTGCCACGAGGACCGCGAGGATGTTTCTGCATGTGTCCCCCCTTCGCAGGGGTTTCTGAGTG